CAGGCCCGGCAGAGCGCGGTCCCGGAAAGCGAGCCGCTCGGGTCGACGTGCGGCCACTCACTCTCCCGGCGAATGACGGCCAGGCAGGCCAGCTCGTCACGAAACCCCAAGATTTGAGCCTTCAGTCTGACGCGGCCGAGAGCTGCCTCGGCGTCGGCTTCACAGCGCCCCGTGACCAGGGCTGGCACCCCCCACTGCGTGTTCACGTTAACGGGGCGTTACGTTACCTGACGTCACAGCGACGTGAGGTCGCGGCTCCCTGCAACGTGACAGTTAACACAGGTCACGGCCGTCACTACCGGCGCGGGCCGAGCCAGGCCGGCGGGTCCGAGCAGGGGCCCCCCGGCGCTGCCCGCGCAGCCCGGCCACGGGCCTCGTCAGCCCATCTGGGTTGGCTGCCCGGATCTAGTTTCTACATCAACACAGAGCAGAGTCAAACATGGTGGAAACCAAAGGGTTAAGCGAAGGTCCGTGGGCCCGTCCTCCGAAGCCGAGATTCTCACGTTTCCCGTGGGAACCGCGTGGCCTGCTGCTCGCTGTGAGGAAACCTGCGGCCGCCGGCTCGGGCGGCAGCCGGGCAGCGCTCGGAGGGCAGGCGCCGTGCGCGACACCTAGCTGTGCCCGCCGGCCGGCGGCCCCGGCCGCTGTTTCAGATACTGCGGGGCAGCGGCCGGGCCAGACGGAAGGCCTCGAGCCCGAGGGGGAGGCCGCTGGGCTCTCCAGGGAGCGGTATGCCGCCAGCGCCGGGCCAGAGGGGCCTCAAAGGTCACTACTGACTCCGACCCGGGCCACGCTGGGAAACTATTAAAACGTGGCAGGAAGTCTGGAGACTCGTCCACGCTGGCCCTCTTGGGCCGGGCCCCGGCGCCACGGGCATGAAGCCCTGCCGGCCGGCGCGCCCCGCACCCACTCACGGGGCCGGCCGGCCGCTGACAGCAGCCTGGGACCCTCGCCCGCCAGCTGCTGCCCTCAGAACAGCCCGAGGGAGGACACTTACTCGAGTCGGGCCCCGCTGGCAGCCAGGGCGCTGATGCAGTCGAGGCTCCCGGAGCGGGCTGCCTTGTGCACGGGGGTCTCGCCCTCACAGTCCTGCAGGCACGACGGGACACAAGGTTCAGCTGTGACCGGGCCCGGGGAGGCGCCCGCCGTCTGGGAAGGAAGCGCGGTCAGCAGCGACCGGGCGCCGGACAAGACGCAGAGTGCGAGAGCAGACCTGGGACGGGCTCGGGCCCGGGGTGCGCCCCAGCACCGTGAGTGGTCCGCAGCTCTGCAGCCCGAGCGCGACCCCGGCCAGGGAGGGACCCCGGGGTGCAGCAGACCCCCGCCCCCCCAGTCGTGGGCTTCGGGGATCCGACTGTTCTGCTCCCCATTCAATCTCTGGGGGTCCTCTCGCCCCCTCCCGCACCTCTGGCCTACACCCCAGCTCTTGCGTGCGTAGACGCCCGAGACAATCTCAGGCTGGTCTCCATCGCTCAGCAGAGGGGGCAGGCCTCACCCGTGCCCACAGGCAGGAGGGCAGGTGCCAGAGAGCCCGCGGGGCGCGGCCTTGGGGAGGGGATCTGCACGTGGACGCAGGCCCCAGGCCGGCGGAGGGGGCGAGCGCCAGGACCCTCAGCCTCCGGGGGCCTGGGTGCAGAGTCCAGCTGCCCCCGGGCACCGCAGGCCGAGCCGCTGTCGCCTCCGCCGCTGTTGGCCGGGGCGGACCTACGGCAGCGGGCAGGAAAAGGCCCACACTCACAGCGGGCGCGGGCGAAGCGGCCTCGGCCCTGCGGCGCCCACAAGGCAGGCCCATGCGGCACTGACCCCGGCACCTGTGAGGGAGGCCCCGGCCAGCCCCAGCCCCACCCCCAGGGCGCGAAGCGGGCCGCGCCCTCACCGGCTGGTCGACGCTGGCTCCCGCCTGGATCAGCCAGAGCAGGCACTGGGGGTGGCCCCCGAAGGCCGCGATGTGGGCTGGCGTCTGGGCGTAGCGCGTGGTGGACAGGTCCAGCGTGGCTCCGGCTCGCACCAGCTGGACCAGGCACTCCAGCTTCGGAAGGGCAGGAGGGGCAGACGGCAGAGGTCAGCGGGCAGGCGGCGCCCGGCCACCGGAGGCGGCCACACAGGCTACCGCGGCGGCTGTGCGGGGTGAGCAGCTGCAGGGGCGCGGGCACAGGGCCAGCGCTGACGCCCGCCCCGCCAGGGGCGACGGGCGCTGCCCCCCCAGTTCTGCTCCCCGCTGTCTCTGGTGGATCCTCTTGCAACCCCACCTCTGGCCTGCACCCCAGGGAGCAAAAAAACCAGTAAAACTGCAAAACACGTGTGTGAACGTAAAACTCAGAAAGAAGCCTCGG